TATTTTTCTGAGTTGACTGTTTTTGTCCTGCATCAATTGTCATATAGAGAATGCATCCCTTATTAATTATTCTAAGTGCTTTATATTTTCATTTTTGGACCTGTGTCAGTTCTTTCTGCACAAATCTAATTTATCATGGAGGTCTGTAGACATTTTAAGCAATGTCTGAGTCAATTCATACTGATCTATATTTTGCTTTGTTTTCTTTTTATGAGATCCCAATGATGCGGTGTTAGATCACCTCCAATGCACAAGAAAGCACTATATTTCCACTATTAAAGTAACTCGACATTGAGGCATCATAAGGAGAGCTGAATTGGCACAATTAATGGCTAGATGGGATCTTACATTGAACCTTTCCATTTGCTACAGTAACTGACGAGAGCTTAATGGAGCAGAGTCAAAGTCACGTTTCCTGCATTGAAGATAAATACAGGATATTTTCAATGCGAAGCATGTGATCATACTATAAAAGTACAAGTATTTTATCACTGTTGCATTCCACGTCACTCTCCGTATTATTGGATCAATTTCCCTTTTTAAAGATTGTTAATCGTAGCGTATCATGGTGTAGAAGAAAAATAGACAAATATGGTCCCTATAGTGAGCTTATTTCCTGTCTCCATTACTTAAAACAACAGAACAATGGATTGTGCTAATATGGAAGTCCAGCCCAGATAAGGAGTGAGCGATACAGGCATAGTTTATTTTAGGATATTATTTTCATCAAGCTTTTATTTATTTTTTATGTTTATTTTACAAATTACACTATCAATGTCAGGTGTAATTACAGCCGTTACTGGCTACCAGTCCAATGTGTGATGTTTCCATATATCCTCTTAGACACTATATTAAAAAGAAAATGATCGATTTAATACGTACGCTCATTTGTCTTGCCTTTGCCTCTGTTTGGTAGCATTCACATAAAAAGTGGGGTATATGCATTTTATTATTAAAGGGACACTTCACTGCCCAAATACAAAAATAAAAATCACTGTTCAGTAGATATACCCCGAATGAAAACATGCATGCATTCAATTATGCATTTTTTCCATTGGACTTATATCTATAAACAGCTTGCAAAAACTGCAGATCTCTTGTCTGCAGCCTTTGCAAGCCCTCTCCTTCTAACCCCACCCAGACTTTCTGTGCCTGTCCAATCACAGACTTGCTAATGCAGTTCAATGAGAAGTCTTTGCAAGGCAGGTGCTCTGGGAAATTGCCTGCCTCTCAGTGCAGCTAAGCCAACCAAACCAGGAAGTAACATTACCTGCTGTCTGCTTGTAATGCCAGGGGGTGTAACTAGTATAATTTATAGAAGTGTCAATTTCGATTGAAATCTGCACTATATCCAAAATGAAAATAAAGAGGTGTAACATTTTAGAGAAAAATCTGTGATCAGTAGTGATAACAGAACGTGCCAATACTACTACTTTTACTTTAAATATGTGAACTCGGTTTATTATAATACATTTACACTTTACTTTTACCAGAGGATGCAAACTATACCAAACAAGCAGTTTAAGCAAACAAGGGGTTTTTACAGGAAGGGTTTTTTTTCCATTTTTTTTGGATTTGCTTCTTATTAGTAAAATGGACTAATTAGTATAAATGGTTTGATTTCCCTGCCAAATTCTATATGAAAATGCACTGCATAATTAACATTAACACTTGTAACCGAAGAGGGAATGCAGAAAGTAATTAAACATACCTTGTATAAATAGTCAGACATTAACTCTTTAAGGGACTCTGCTGCATAAACTGTGTTTGATATCTTAATTCAAATCAAGACACAGTTTATTCCAGTGCTTCCCAACCCAGTCATAAATACACACAAATGGTCCACTTTTTGCAAATATCCCCATAGCAATAGAATACTGGGCTGTAGATGTGCTTTGAGAACAGGGTTTGGAACAGGACAGGGTTTGGAACAGGACGGGGTTTCTGCAGTGCTTTAAAATGTGTAAACAAGAAATAGGCAGCTGAAACAAGACAAATTTGACGTATAGGAACAGAAGGTGGTGACGACCTGGCTCAAACGAGTTTACATTCTAGGTGGAGTGGGGTAAAATTACACAAGAGGCAAGGGTAAGATATATTTCACGTAACAGAAAAGTTTACCTTATAAAAGTCAACACCAGTGGAGTGTATGTTGACCATTACATAGATGTATTACTATCTAACTTGGTTAAAACTCTTGAGGGTTTACCAACTATGCAGAAATGGTGAAATTAGAACCAAATTAGACCAGTGGCAGACAACCTTTGGCACTGCAGATATGGATTACATCTCCCTTATGCAATGCTGTAAGCGCATCATGAGAGATGTAGTCCATAACATCTGACATGCCAAATGTTGTCTATCCCTGTCCATGACCATCAATGGAAAAACTTGGCACCCAAGATACTTGTAGACTAAATGTCCACATTTTTGGTGCAGAAATGTGAGCCATCACTGACCTGGACATTATCCAGGCAGAGCTGCAAGCAAATGTATGTGTGTTGGGCCATGCTTGTCCATTCCACCATCGATGCAATTATTAAATTTGGTACTGATAACCAAGCCTCAGTGGGCAAGGTTAGCTCTGTTCTCGCTTCTTTAACGCAATACTTTCAAAAACAGTTTTTTGAAGACCACCAGTTGTGCCAGATTTAGGGATTTTCAAATGTTGTTTCACTGGGGACATTGATAAAAACTGGACTGCTAAGACAATTTAGGAATACCTTCCTTAAGTTATGGGAGTTATAGTGCACAGCACCTTTAATTAAGATTCTAACTCTGGTGAAACGGTGAATAAGTCATCTTTATATGTGTCAGTTTATTGATGCTGAATTAACACATGCAGTATCCTAAAACACGATCCAATGTATGAAGAAATCTACAATGCACCCTTTATTTATTAATTATTTATTTAGATATTTTTGTTGAGATTATTACAATATAGTCACATACGTGTTTCAGATAAGCAGTGTCAAACAAGGATGAACAGAAGGAAAATCAAACAGGGTCAATATTGTTGACATCAATATATAAGAACAAGTGAGGTAGTCTTCGGAAGATACTAACGTTAGTAACATTAATTTTGCCAGGAAATATAACAATAACATGTATTGGTGGTGAGGTGCTAACGTGACCTCTAAGCAATAAAGGTTGGGTGAGAGGTGTTTTCATTTTCCTTCTCTTAAAGGGACTCTCCAGTGCCAGGAAAAAGGGGTGAAAACCCCTTCAGTGACTTACCAGAGGCAGCAACGATGTCCCTCGTCGCTGCTTCTTCCTCCGCCCACGCTCCTCCTCATCCCCACATCAGCCGGCCGAGGAGACTGATCCTGCCCGCCGACTGGGGAGACCTAATGCGCATGCGCGGCAATGTCGCTCACGCGCATTAGACCTCCCCATAGGAAAGCATTGAAAATGATTTAAATGCTTTACTATGGAGATTTTAGCGATGCTGGAGGTCCTCACACAGCTTGATAATCTGTGCTATAATCCCGGAAGGAGTTAACCCTGCAAGGTAATTATTGCAGTTTATAAAAACTGCAATAATTACAGTTGCAGGGTTAAGAGTAGTGGGAGTTGGCAGCCAGACCACTCCAATGGGCAGAAGTGGTCTGGGTGCCTGGAGTGTTCCTTTAACCAGATTGGGTGTAGTTAAGGAGTTTCTTTAGGGTGCATCCTCTTTGAGGGGAGATGGGAGATTTGTATTGGGGTTCTTAAATGAATGCCAGGGGGCAGAGTGTGAGAGGGGGGATACAATGCACCCTTTTAAAATTAAGAGTTATGCAGGATAAAGGGGTAGGTAAATTTGTCTGCTCATGCTACCCATACAACAAAGGGTATCATGTACTACATCAAACCTTGGATCAGAACATGCACTACGCAAGCCATAACCTAGGTTCTTCCAGAAGAGGGGACCAAAGGACAAAGAAGATCAGGGAAGTCACAATCCACCTGGCCTTGATTTATTGGGCATTTCATTTTTTGGAGCAAGTGCTCTGTTTATATATCAGGCAGTATAGACCTCCCTCAGCACTCCCCAATATCCCTAAGTATTTTTAGATACAGAAATAAGACATATTATATCACATTTTGGCATCCATTCTGTAAATCCATATAAAGTACCTTGCATTAGTCCTTTTAACCCCTATTTATGCCTAGTTATCTAGTTATCTTGAAAAGTCTTGATTCTGGCCATATGAATCTGTGGCTTAATCAAGGCGGAACATATTTTTTTTTTTTTTAATTCTTTATTTTTATTGTGCTTGTTGTGTACAGGCGGCCTGCATTGCCACGACAGCGGATGCAAGCGTTCCAATATACATATTACATTCACATGGCAAATACTTTTCATGCACATTTTGGTATTATTACTAGCAGAAATTAGTTAAGCTGCGTACTAATTGGCAGTGCAATAAAACAGGTTATCTTGAACAGGGCTAAGAGTGGCTCACAGACCAGTTTGTGTGTACTGGAGGTTGTGTGCCGTTAAGATAATATGCAAGGCATTTTTAGGAGCATGCATAACAATAGTATATAACAAACCTGCCTATTCTCTCATAATTAACCATGTGGAACACATTAGGTCTGAAGGTTTTATCGTAAAAACTATAGGAAACAGTGGCTAATCAACTCAGCTAAACTATGCCGTCTTTGGAAGGTCATCGGTAGAATCCTATGTTGTCACAGGGCAGTAATCGCTATGAGCCTCTTGGGATCAGCGAGTGTAGGACATTAACATTTGTGGCTAAAGCACAAGAGGCGAAACACCCCTTTTAACATGTAACTTAGTACTGAGATCGATGATCGGGGTGGGGGGGGGGAAAAAGAAAGGGGTACCCCAGAGCCAGCGGGTGAGGGTTTGGTGATACATGTCTCGAGGAACAGCTATCTGCCTGCACATTGTGCATGCTTTTGTACCTAATTATCTAATAAACAGTGCAACATATTAAACAATAACTTGGATAAAAGCAGTACTGCAAGCATTGAGTGGTAGTGTAGGACATTCAAGTTGTCTCGGTGGTAGCGTTGTTGTTCCGTTGGGTAGCCAGGACAAAAGGGCAGATAGTGGCCAGGTCCCATGTCTGCGACTTTGGCTTAGGCACTGGTGGTTGCGTCCCCGTCTCTGCGGGGGGGAGACCAAGTTGTTGAAGAATGGAGCCCATTTCGGATATGTCAGCAACTCTAAGAGTCCCAGTCTCGTTAGGTATCAAAAGGCTTCGTGGTGCTCCCCATCTGTAGGGTCTTCTATGTTGCATCAGCACTGTGGTAAGTGGTCTCATGGATCTCCGCCATGTCATTGTGGCCCTGGAGATGTCCGGGTAGAATAATAAGGAATGTCCCTCAAATTGGTAAGGAGTGGTGTTGCGGACAGCTGACAGAAAGGCCTGCCTGTCCGGTCCGTGCTGAAAACACACTATTACATCCCTGCTGGTTTGCTGGGAGTTCACCTGCGGTTGTGGTAGCCTGTAGCATCCCTCCAGCAACATGGCTTTGGCTTGTTTTGGCACGAATAAGCTGGATAGCAGTCTTCGGATGAGGTGGGGGATTTCTGCGGTTGTAACGCTCTCAGCCAGGCCCCTTATTTTAACATTGTTCCATCGCCTATGATCTTCCATTGCTGCAACTTGGTGCTGGGTTTGGATCAGATCGTTCTTGGTCTTAGTCAGCTCGCTCTCAAGGCTATTAATGCGGGCCTCGTGTGCTGCTGTGCTGATTTCTGTGTCAATTAGTCTCACCGACACCCCATGAATTTCCTCTTTAAAAGAATTGATGTCTGCCGCAATATGTCGGCGGAGATCATCCAAGAGGGCGTTCAGTCGGTCTTCAGTGACTGGAGGGTTGCTTTGTGCCTTAGTCTTGCCTGCTCTCTGCGTCTCCGCCATCATTTCCAGGTTGGAGAGTGAGTCTTCACTGGATGATCTGGACGGTGCGTCCGAGAGCGGCGCCATGACAGGTCTCAGGGAAGCTTGCGGCCTCCACAGAAATTTGCCGATATCGGCGGTGTTTGGGTGTTTTCCCATCCGGTATTTTTTGCTTTTGCGCCCCATCGTCTTAAGAAGTTGGTAGGGCTGGTGTGGTAGGGTAAATTGGGCAGGAACAGCTTGTTTTTCCCTGGCTTGCACGGAGCTCCTGAGAGACACGTCCGTTCTGTGCGGCTGCTGGCTCCGCCCCCAACATATTTTTAATATTATCGTGTATACTTTTTATCTATTATTATTATTGCCATATATAGTGTCAACAGATTCCAAAGCACTTTACAATATTATGAGAGGGGATTTAACTATAAATAGGACAGTTACAAGAAAATGTATAGGAACAATAGGTGTAAGAGGACCCTGCTCAAACGAGCTTACAGTCTATAGGAGGTGGGGTGTAAAACACATTAGGAATATGACACATTTCATTGTTCATCTATATTTTCCTCCCATCTGCATGCATTACGTTTTTTGTTCGGTAATCCTGCGTGGATGGTAACTAAAGATGTAATATTTCATCTTATTTATGGACTCTAGTATCAACTCAAGGTATGTAAGCAAAGTACATTTTTGGAAAGAAGAATTGTTCCAGCTGCACTACAAAGAAACCCAGTCTTGCAGAACTCCTGCAAATTCTCCCGAGTTTAAAAGTTGCGCTCAAATGTCCGTTAGTGCCAGAAGCCTATTGTTTTGTTCTGCATCCAAAATTTCAATAAATAATGTTGACTCTCATTCAATGTTTTGAATAATGTTTGTTCGGGGATGAAAGAATGATCCCAAGTACCAAGCTTTGTACCTTAACTCCTTAAACTGGCATCTGTTTGCAATACTACAAGAACACTTAACTAGACAAATATATAAAATTGGTTGAAGAAACTTCAAATATTCAGATGTCGCATCTAGCTCTGCAAAGCTTTTTTTCTATTAAATTTTGGATTATGTTTGGGAGCAGACTTTCAGATAATTACCATTTTCCTAAAAAAATTAAATTGTGAACAAAAAAAATCTACTTTCTTAAATTAAACATTAATCTACATTGCTTAATTCTATTACTGGTTGGTTTTTTGGGGTTTTTTTTTTTTTAACTTTTATATCACTATTATATGTTACATATGCTGAGAATTTCACCAAGATATGTCTCGTTATTAATTATTTAAATATAAGACCAATTACGAAAATGACTGTTTAAACCCAGCTTTAGATTAAACTTATCTACCAACAAGACACTAACTTGCACAACACATGTGAATATCAGTAAACAATAATATAAAATATATTTTACCTTGAAGGATGTAGTTAGCATTAAACCATTCCCTTGGGTACAAATATCACGATTACCATTATTAATGTTATTTGTTTTATCGACCTTGAAAGGAAGAAAAGATAAATCAATTCCACCAAGAATCCAACCACGAAATCGTGAGATCTAGACTGTTAATACAAGATGCACTGATTAGATGGTGCGTACGTTGAAGGAGAAATCTATGACTGATATATGATGGTCAAACAATTTAAGAATTGCCGTTATAATGTAATCTACAAGTATAATCGATGTAAATACTGTTAGGTGGCAAAGGATTCAAAAACAAACCTGAGTCTCAGAGACCCGTTACAAAAGTAGGAGAGTGCCAAAGTATTGCCTTTTTCCTGCTACAGAAAGCAATATGTGTTGAGACGAGGTAACCCAAATACCTCAAAGTTTTAATACCCCCCTCCTTCACACATACACACACACATACACAGGGGCAAAAAAAAATAGAATAGACCACTACAAAGGGGCTTACATATTTTTATTTATTTATATAGTTTACAGATAAAAAATAATGTGTCAAAATTTAGAATTTTGACCCAGAATCAACACTCGGAGCCAATTCCAGAGCAGTGTGATCAATGCAAAAATGTATGTACTTGTCAGAGAATGTAGACATTTAAGACTTCTATTTAGCAAACAACAAAGTTACAAAACGGGAACTAATCCCATGAAGTGTATCTGTACTCATATGGTAAATATATATATATAAAAAAAATTGCAATTTACAGTAGAATTCAAAGATTTCCGAATTTTACCATTTGAAAGGGCATTCAGACTTTAGTAAATAACCTTCAGTTTGTTAATAAAAACAGGACTGTTAAGTACTGGTTAACTCCATGATGATTTATTTATGTAGGCATTTCAATTCATTTTTTGCAAAGTATTGTAAACCTGGTTTAACCTCAGAGAATTTGCATTGGGGCCAGGAGATGGCAAGCTATGGGCTACAGTAAGGGATAAGAAGCACCTTTTATAATAAGCAAGTTCTCGTTCCTATAAATAGCTGTGTCAATATTGTGATAATAACACTTAAAATAGTGCCATTTACAAGCGCTGAAAGGTGGCCAACAGCTGTGCATATTAAGTGCAGAGTATGGGATTCTCTGTAGGGCTAGCTTGCAGGTGGAAAAACTTGTATTTTGATTGAAAAAAAGAAAAGAAAATATGGGGTAATGCAAAATGCTTTTCATGTCAAATTGCCGTTTGATAATTTAAAACATTTAATGTACGGTACTAACTGTAATTGTTAGGGCAAGTTTTTGCAGAATTAATCAGTATTAGGATGACCAGGATTGAACGATGAAGCTTATATCAAGTGCATTCTGCGATAAATAAATTATTGCTCTATAGGTTGGCACTGAACATTACAAATGCAAATGTGAAATGAGCACACCACCCAAGTGTCTTGGTTTGGAAGGCAAGTCCCTCTTTCGGTGGCTTTCTTCTATCTTTTATATCATAGTGTCCATCCTTTGCAGGAGCACAGCATTTTTGGTATGTACGAGTGCCTACCAGAGCTGTTATTTGTGTTTACATTTTACTACAAACACATTTTATTGTCTTGTTCTAAATGACTTGGATATGTGATCACCCTAAAAATGATCCTTATGCAGGGAATGCAATTTCTGACCAACCCTGTATATCATTATTTGTAAGAAAAATTACAAAGTGTCCAAAGTGAATTTAAAATTTAAAGTCAGGATCGTAAACTGAAGAAACTTAGCTTTGCTTTCATTTAGCCACTCTGGTCTTAAAGCGACACTATAGTCACCAAAACAACTTTAGCTTAATGAGACAGCTTTGATGTATAGATCATGCCCTGCAGTCTCACTGCTCAATTCTCAGCCATTTAGGAGTTAAATCACTTTGTTTATGCAGCCCTAGGAACACCACCTATGTGACTTACACAACCTTCCTAAACACTTCCTGTAAAGAATCATCTAATGTTTACACTTCATTTATGTTTTCTCCAAAACATACTTCATTTAAAGGGACACTATAGTCACCTGAACAACTTCAGCTTAATGAGGTTGTTCAGGTGAGAGCTATAGCTCCCTGCAGCCTTTCTCATGTAAACACTGTATTTTCTGAGAAACACTGTATTTTCTGAGAAAATACAGTGTTTACATTGAAAGCTAGGGACACCTCCAGTTGCAGTCACTCAGAGTGAACCATAGGGACTTCAGAGTTGATGGAGGCATCCACTCAGATCTGCTGTGCACGTGGATCCTGTGATTCAGTATCTCCTCCCACTGCATGCAGACACTGAACTTTCCTCATAGAGATTCACTGATTCAATTCATCTCTATGAGGAGATGCTGATTGGCCAGGGCTATGTTTGAATTATGCTGGCTCTGCCCCTGATCTGCCTCCTTGTCAGTCTCTCCCAATCCTATGGGGAAGCACTGTGATTGGATTACATGTCAGCAGACTGCTTGTTTTTCCTGAGTCTAACAGCATGCAGATTTACAGCTTCTGGCTTGAATACAGTAAGATCTTTACTATATTTATGGAGGCATGAGGGGCCCAGGGGGGCTAGATGGTCGTGTTAACACTATAGGGTCAGGAATACATGTAGTTGCACTGGTGACTATAGTGTCACTTTAAAAAAAAAAGTCATTAAGTTTCATTAAATGTAATAAACTTGTAACAAGGGACAATTTTGATGATAGTCCTTTAAGGATAAGTTCCCCTCTGGTAAATGCTAGCCCATATGACAACTCTCATTACAGACCTAGAATAAATTAACATCTGGAATAATCACATAAATCAAGTCACAGATATACTTTAACGAGTATTGGGGAAGGTTACAGTTCCACTAATATCTTTGAGGTTTTGCGGATATGAAATCGTCAAACTAATCACTGTGTGATACATTTATTCTATTCTTATATTCCCATTTTATGAGTCATGAGCAATTTTGGGGAATGAAGCTATGCCTAAAATCCGACTGCTATTAGATATTCTGAGTAAATTCTTTGTTTTTGGTAAATAGTATCAAAGTGTTGTAATATGATGCCAGTCCTCTGAGATTTGGAATCATATTTGACTCAATATGAGTAATGTTTTGCTCACAAATGCATAACCGAGAATCTATGCTGATCATCTGTCAAAAATAGTCAGATCAAACATTCTCAGTTGTTATATTACTCAGTTCTGGATGACTTGAATAGTGGAAAGAAAAACCAATGCATGGGAGAGTTGAAAATTGGATAATAATGAAGATTTTGAAGTCAACATTGTGTCAAACTCCGGATTTTCTGCTCTGCCAAATCACTAGGATTTTACATCCAAGATTATTTGTTTGTCTCCAGATAAAAATACATTGATTCTAGTATATTTTTTTTATATTGCACGATAACAGCGATTACAAAATTATTCTGGCCTCTGCATCGACCGAACGGAAAAAAAATAGAAAACTTACTTCGGGAAACAAAATATTTGAATAAAATGTGAATATGTCATATATAAATCTATATATGAATCATGTGTTTGATTTGATTTCAATAGAAAATGGCACTTTTATAGATGAACCTGGTTGCACTCCAATGGCTGTCGATCAGACAACAGGTCCTGTTACTTCTTGGTTTGTTTAGCTCAGTGGAGCTAAAGTCAAGAGGCAGCAATTGCCCAGAGCACCTGCCTTGCAAAGACTTCTCATTGATCTGCATTAGGAAGTCTGTGATTGAATAGCCGCAGAACCTTAGGACGTGGTTAGACGGGGAGGGTTTGCAAGGGCTGCAGACAAGAGATCTGAAGCTTTTGTAAGCTGTTTCTGGCTATATTCCCAATGAAAACCATGCATAATTAAATGCATACATGTTTTCATTGGGGGGCATATCTACTAAACAGTGATCTTTACATTCATTTATTTTTTAACTTGGGCTGTTCTCTACAATCCAGGTAATAATAGACTGTGGAGGACACATTTCTAGCCCCAATAACTCAGTAGAACACATCAACATAATTCTATAGTTTCCAAATAGTACATGTTTGCAGATTTTTTTAATATTTTGTTTTGTCAACAAAAATATATTTCATCTTGATTTTATCAGGAAGTAACCTGCTATAACTAATAAAAAGTCTTGCCCTACCAAAAATTTGTGTTTGAAAATACAGTATCAACAAGAGATAGAACGAGTGATAGCGACCTTGCCTCCTCACAAATCACCAGGCCCTGACGGCTTCTCCAACTTGTATTACAAAAAGTTTGCCTCCATCCTCTTCCCCCAGATGGCAAAACTATTTGCAACAGCAACTACTGAGAGTAAGCTTCCACAGAAGATGCTGGAGGCTAACGTAGCCACGCTTCCCAAACCAGGAAAGCCCTCCACGAAATGCGCCAACTTACGACCCATCTCCCTGCTGAATACTGACATTAAAATAATGGCAAAAGTTTACGCGAATAGGTTGAAAGGTATCCTCCCCGCCTTGATCCACTCCGACCAAGTAGGTTTCATTAGTGGGAGACAGGGGGCAGACGGGACACGCAAAGCGCTCGCCCTTTTACAAGGCATGAACCGATCAGCAACTAACAGCATACTTCTCTCATTAGAAGCCGAAAAGGCTTTTAACCGCCTGAACTGGTCATTCCTCCAGGCGGTCCTCGAAAAATTAAATTCCCCCCCCAAGTTCCTGGCAGTGATTAAGGCACTCTACAATAAGCCCACGGCTAGAGTATTCAATGCTGGCTTTAGATCAACCCCCTTTTGTATAACAAATGGGACCAGGCAGGGGTGCCCCCTGTCACCCATATTGTATATCCCGGCACTGGAGCCGCTGGCGGCTCTGATCAGGGATGACAATCGTATACATGGGGTGCGCATAGACGGCAGGGAAATTAAATTAAACCTTTTCGCGGATGATATACTCTTCACCATCACAGATCCCAAGACGTCGCTACCAGCATTTCACAACATACTGCATTCATACAGCAGGTGTTAGTATTATAAGCTTAATCGCACAAAAACACAAGCCATGGGGGTGAGGATGGAGAGCACCTACAGGTCAGACCTTGAGAAATAATTTACATACGACTGGAGAACAGACTACCTCACCTTTTTAGGTGTCAGACTTCCGCATAATCTCCCAAATCTTTACGATCTCTATGTCAAACTATGTCAAACTGAGCAAAGAAATAGTAGAAAGCCTCCAACAATGGAGAAATAAATACATTTCCTGGTCAGGACGCATTGCTGTTGTAAACTTGGTAATACTGCCTAAGCTGCAATACCTATTTAGGACAGTCCCACTGATAGCCCCAACACGTTACTTCCAAGCGCTGCAAAAACAAATTAATATGTTCATATGGAACGGCAAAAAGCCCAGAATAGGCACAAAACCCCTCAATAGGACCACACAGGCAGGAGGCATGGGCCTACCTAACCTATACAGAGCATCAATCCTGACCAGTCTAGTGGCAGCCCACCATCACATAGACACACCGCAGTGGGTATCTATTGAGAGCTTTTGGACAAACCGGCTCAACATATCCACCCTGATGTGGTTAACTCCCCCCCCCCAAAGGCCAAACGTGGCGCAAGCGCTCCCGGCCACAATCACAACCCACAATCACAAAAATATGGGACACCTCCCGTGCGCGTTTGTGCAGCTGCCGCCCTATTTCAATGGCCATGTCCCTCAGATCGCTGGCGGAGCTGATCCCTGAGTTCAATTTCAAGAAATGGAACAGATGTGGAATTGCACACCTGCACGACCTGCAAAACAAGGGAACACTGCTGCCATTTCACGACCTTAGCACCAGATACACTATCACAAGTATAGCACACTTCTCCTATAGACAACTGAGGTCCTGGTGGCTCATGCATATGAAGATCCCAGCACCAGACCACCAAACACACTTCCTTACACACTTTGAGAAATGCTTAATTGAAGGAGCACCTGCCAAGGGGCCCATTTCTGCCATCTACACACTCCTGAACACTAACACAGAACTCTGCCATCTCCCGTGGGCCAAAGCATGGGAAACAGACATAGGCTGCAAATACCCGAAAACACCTGGCTCAAAGCCATCAACAGCTACAAAGGCAGGTCAGCCTGCACAGCTCACATGGAACTCATGCACAAAATTGCCTACAGGTGGTACATGGTTCCCACACGCCTGGTTACGATACTGCCATCACAACCAAACACCTGTTGGCGATGCCATAGAGACACAGGAACATTCCTACACATCTGGTGGGGCTGTAACATCATACAGAGCTACTGGAAAGAGGTTCTTTCCCTCATTCACTCACATACAAACATTGCAGTCCCCAACTCCCCAGCCTCCCTCTTACTGTTTATATACAAAGACCAATACCCCCCAGCCGATAAATACTTGATATACCACATCCAAATCGCAGCCTTGACACACATTGCCAGAAATTGGCTTTCCACATCCACAGCGACTATGCAAGAACTGACTAAGTATGTCTCAACAGTGGGGAGCTACGAAATGCACACCGCCTCTATAACAACACGCCAACCCTGGAAACGGGAGGTTTGAGAGAATTGGGCCAAAAGAGCCACAGACTAGAAGACAGAGGAGAATACACACGCACATACAGAGACACAGATATAAAGTCGATAGCTAAGAGACACGAGACAGAAACGGGCAATACGGGGATGAACCGGAGGTGCGATTCTGATGGACCCCACTGATGTTGGCCGGACAACTACTGGAGCAACCCCCCCCTCCCATCTCCCCCCAACTCCCCCCACCCCCAACCAACAGGCTCATACCCCCCTACGATCCTCGTCCCAACAAATGACAAACAGAACAGTGGTATTGGATAGACAACACACCCTATACCAGCCTCAGGTTTGGCAACGATACCCTTTCAATACTGTATATACTGATTGAGGAGGCTCTATGCAAAACTCTGTGAAGCAAAACTCTATGACACAGTGCAATTTGCATTATACCTATGTCTTTAACCCCCTTTTTTATTTCTGTACCCCCCCACCCCCCTTTTTTGCTTTCACATTTGGAAAATAAAAACTGTCATATTGAAAAAAAAAGAAAATACAGTATCAATCCCTACACTGACACATTTAAATGTTCTTGCACAGGAATGCATAATTAAATTACATTTAATTAATTAGCTTTTGAAACAATGGCGATTTAATTAAACTTGCTAATTTTATTATTCTTTATTGTGCGCTGAGGATATTTTGGTTTTGCGATATTAGCAATCATGCATGATTTGTTGATTCATAAATTATTTATCATTTTCTTTCTTTCGATATTTGGCAATTTTTCAAGCAAGTCACTGGCTAGCATCCTGTAGTATTATTATTTTAATAAAAATAATTTTAAAAGTAATTAATTTTCCTCCATTAAAATAATGTCTGGCATCTCTTCTCTGGAGCATACTAACATATAACAGTAATTGCTCAATCAAGAAGTGATTGGTCACTGTTGCAGGACTAAAGTAGGGATGACAAACACCAATTCCCCCTCTTTGACACCACCAACTCATAGAATTATTTTCAATCCAATAGAGGGGCACATTAAAAGCTGTAGTTCAACTACATCTAAAGGGCCAGACTCTGCAATGAAGGTCAAATTGGACCAATTTAGCAAACAATGTTGTATGACAAAGCTGACTTCAGCAAACAGCAAACAAGTCCATTGCTACCTCATCAATCGCTCCTATTATATGTCTTGCAAAGTTATATTCTGTATTCCTATACCCAAATACATTTTTACTTGCTGTTCGTGTGGCATCTCCCCACAGTGGACTCGGAGGGTCCCCTTAAAATTTACTTGGCACACAACAAAAATTCCTTTCACTCAAAGCAGTCAATGCAAAGCTAAAGGAAAAATATATTCTCTTTATTGTTACAAAAAATACATAAAAATGTATTCAAATATGGCAGATAGTAAAGTATAATGCTACTATTACTAGCACAACGGGGGAGGGGGTACAGGTGGTTGAATAAGCGTCATTCGCAAAACTTGTTCAGCCAAGACAGGCATGTATTAAGCCCTGCCCCCTTCGCTTGGGCAAGTAATAATGAAAATATATCTCACTACCTGTCATATTTAGTTTTCCCTTTGTATTGACTCCAGGTATGAGAAATTCACCAAGCAATTTAATTGAAGAATTTAAAGGGACTATCCATTGCCAGGAAAACAAACCGTTTTCCTGGCACTGCAGGTCCCCTCTATCTCCCACCCCCCATCCGAAGTTGCTGAAGGGGTTGAAACCCCTTTAGCGACTTACCTGTATCCAGCGCCGATGTCCCTACGTTATCCGGCGGGGAAGACCTATTGAGCATGCGCAACCGCAGGCGGGGGAGACCTAATGCGCATGCGCGGCAATGCCGTGCACACGCATTAGACCTCCCCATAGGAAAGCATTGAAAAATTTATATTGAAAAATGCTTTCCTATGGGAATTTCAGCTACGCTGGAGGACCTCACATAGCGTGAGGACGTCCAGCGACGCTATAGCACACTTTTCATGTGCTATAAACATGAAAGTGCCCTCTAGTGGCTGTCTAGTAACCCTGCAAGGTAAATATTGCAGTTTATGAAAACTGCAATAATTACACTTGCAGGGTTAAGGGTAGTGGGAGCTGGCCCCCAGATCATTCCAATGGGCAGAAGTGGTCTGGGTGCCTGGATATTTAAGACATTTTTCAGTTTGGCTATTTTGGACAGTAATTTTTTGCAACACAAATCAGCTATTCACTAAAAGTGAGTCCGGTGAAACGTTGTCTCTTGAAAATGTCTTAAGTTGATTATTTCTGTTAAAGTTGGGACCTGTTGGGCCTCCTAATCCGGCTACAGCCCGAACACTATATATTACACATAATACCTGAGATGACACTACATCCTTGCAGGAAAGTGATAGTCAACATACTTAGCGCAGCAAAGGTCCTTCTAGCGCAAAACTGGAAGAGCACAAAAATACCTACCATAGAGGCGGTTAGTAGCAGATTGGACGTAATCGGCTCCTATGAACTAATGGCTAGCAGGATGCAGGGCCGGGAGGATAGGCACGAGAGGGAGTGGGGCTGTTGGAAATCCAAAACGGAGAAGTAAATAATATTATGTCAAACAGAAGGGTTACACTCCACTGTGACCGTAAACGCATATACAAATGTACATGAAATCCTTAAGGTAAATGCAATCATAGATTACCACAGATACGCAACTGCTAAATAAATGCAAACTAACAGTAAACAGAACAGAAGCCGGCAGGGTTCGGGATTTATATATCCCCAGTCCCAAGTTAGACCCCTTCCCTTCCCACCCAAGTTTCCCCTTTGGTTTCCATCGAACAGAAATATCAAAAAAATAAGATCCATGTTGACGATGCACACCAACTTACCCTTGTGATACCTTATGTGTAGATACTTACTGTTATGCACACCTCAGGTGCACTGGACCATGTTAAAATGTAGCGCAATACTTCAATGTAATGATTTATGTATCTAACACTCTCAACTGGATGAAATGTATGTACCTACTCTGTTAACTTAATAAAAAACTATATATGATAAAAAAAAGTTGGGACCTGTTGGAAAACCAGCCACCTGACAATTTCAAGTTCAGTAAGTTAGCTATGCCTCAAACACCGGCTTGTAACCAATGATTCCTACAATGCGTCTTATTTGTTCTAGTGGGTGATTTGATGTCAGCAACAACTGGGATTTACAGCTGCTACAGTGAGCTCTGTCCTGAACAAGAAGCATCTTAGCTAGTGATGTCCCGAACGGTTCGCCAAACGGTTCGCCAAACGGTTCGCCACAGCCTCGAACATATGCGGTAAACTTTGACCCTGTACCTCACAGTCAGCAGACACATTCCAGCCAATCAGCAGCAGACCCTCCCTCCCAGACCCTCCCACCTCCTGGACAGCTCACTAAGAATGCAGCTTCACAATGAATGTAAAATGGATGCTGTCCAGGAGGTGGGAGGGTCTGGGAGGGAGGGTCTGCTGCTGATTGGCTAGAATGTGTCTGCTCACTGTGAGGTACAGGGTCAAAGTTTACCGCATATGTTCGCCGTCCGTGGCGAACCGTTCGGCGAACCATTCGGGACATCACTAATCTTAGCCAATCACGATGCCTGACTTTTATTATCACTGTTGAGTTTATCCCATAAGTCTCTGCACAGCAGTGTGCTGTAGTCAGAACAGGGATTTCTGGAAGTTGTAGTTTGATAGCCAGCATTCTAACGTAGAAGCCTTAGAAAACTAAGCAATGACAACCAGTATAGTTATATTATTGAAGACAAAAATGCAAACATTGCACGTTGAGAGAAAGGAGAAGAAAGATTGGTTTTATAATTGAAATAAAGATTTTTTTAAAATAGGACTACAAATAAAACAAAACTACCAGTATAACTAAATATGTGAAAGTGTATGCAGAGGAGCATTCCATTTATAAATAAGAATATTTATGCATTTATAAAAGAGTTTAATTAAAAGAGTTTAAATAAAGTTAATCCCAGTGTATTCCCAGCACAGAGATGCAGATACTATACTACAATGAGGGAGCTTTGTTCTTTGGTCATTGTACAAATATTGCACGTAATAGCATCTTATAAATGGCGCAGTCCCTAAGCCGCAATTATCAGTATTAGAAGGTTTTATGCAATTAGCTGCATACGATATCATTGTTTTTCCATCTGTTTCACACAAGTTTATGCCTGAGAACAGTTTAGTGTCAGGGAGGGAGCTGGACATGTTTGAAACTTGTGTGCTATCTAAATTATCCCTGTAATCAGTGACAGGTGCATCCTATCAAGATGTGTCTAAATAGGAGTCTTCTGTGCTTTTAATTACTGCATTTACACTGGGTAATTAATGTTCCGTATATAATTAAAGGAATCATACAAATATTGTACATAAAGGAAGGATATTAGTGAGCGTAATAAGGAAAATGTACCTTTCATATAAAATGCAAATATGTTGCAACGGGAGGGAGTGCATAAGCTTGTTTTATTACTTTGAGGCTCTGGGAGCCTTAACTATTGCTAATTTAAGTACATTATTTAACACATTATTGTTTTCGATTATAGCCCACTCCCCTCCCCCCCCCATTATACAAAAAAAAGTTTAAAACATCTATGAGATGTATCTTTACTCCAACACTAGAACAGTCTCCACTATGTGTCTACTCTACCGCTAGTGATGTCATCAGTTCCGATACATTTTGTCTTATAATCGAGAAGCATAGTGGACATGGATTTGTGTCAATCTCAGCATTCACAGAGAAGCACTAAATCTAGTGCTGTGCGTGATGACTCCCAATGTGAAGAACTTTTAAAATCGGAAGTCTTCAATGAGAGAGCTCTTCTACTGGTTCTCAGTCTGAAATCCATTAAAGGTGTGGTTTAGGCAAGGTGTAAATGTTGCCTTTTCTCTGAAATAGTTATGTTTTATATTGCCCCCCAAAAAGAGCAGGATCTATGCACCAAAACCAATTAACTAAGATGAAGTTTTTTTAAGTCCTTAAAGGACCACTATAGTGCCAGGAAAACATACTCGTT